AAACCCTGATAATATCATAGATATATATAATAGTACACTTGAGAAGTTTCAAGTAGGTACCCACGAATAATATTATATTATAATCACAACAAAATAACTAGGTTTTTTAATATTATGTAATTTCGTCCAAATTTGAACATAAAATGACTATAAAAATAAACTGTGTTTGTATATTTTTTAGATTTTTCAGTAAGAGAATTAACTACTTCCGTGGAATCTTGTTTTAAATTTTCAATCCTTAACTATAAAAACTGAACATTTTATAATTTATTAATTACGAGAGTTAATAATTTTCGAGATTTTGAAAAATTCTGTCAAATTTCGATGTTTAAATGCTTATAAAAAAAAAATGGGCCTATGTATTTTTAATATTTTTCAACTGATATTGTAACAATATATCAGGAGCCTTGTATTAATTTTTTACACTTTTTGGCCCAACAGATAAAACTTTATTGATATTTATAGAAAAAAAAAACTAAAAAAATTGAAAACTGAAAATGTCCGTAAACGGCTCAAAAAGTGTCAAAATATTTTCAAAATTGTAGGGTGTATAGGAAATGCTAATATAAACATTCAGTGAAATTTTCATGTATCTACAGTAATTCGTTTTTTAATTACAACAAAAAAAGGAAATTGCCACATGAGAAATCGAGTGAATATCCAATGTTGTAAAAATTTGAATTTCAAACGCTCATAAAAATTTAATTTGACTTTCCGGTAGAAATTTTTTTATTGATAAAGGTAGACAATCTTATGAGTAATCTTGTATTAGATTTTCAAATCTTAGATTTAAAAAGAAAAATTTTTACGAATTCTTAACTCAAAATAATTTGCTAATTTTCGTGATTTTTCCATATTTTGTCAATTTTTGAACTTTAAATGCTTATAAAAAAAAATTGTGACTAAGGATTTTTAATATTTTTCATCTGCCTTTGAAACAATATATTAGGAGCCTTCTATTAAATTTTCAAGTTTTCGCAACCAACAAATAAAATTTTATTGATATTTCTAGAAAAAAAACTAAAAAAAAATTAAAAATGAAAATGTCCCTAAACTGTTCAAAATAAATCAAAATATTTTGAAAATGTTATCGTGTATAGAAAATGCAAATATAAACAACCACTGAAAATTTCATGTATCTACGGTTATTTGTTTTAAAGTTACACCAAAAACCAAAATCGATTTTTTGGAAAACCGATTTTGCGTAAAAATTCCCGTTTTTCCTTAATTTTTATGTTGTTTTTCCCGGCGCTCTTGAAAACTACTGGGAAATTTAAATTTTGACCTCCCCAATGCACCAACGATATTCACTTTCCAATCGAACAAGATACTGAAGTCGAAAATCGAAGCATTATTTCGACTACTTATCGTGTACACAGACACAAAAAAAATAAAAAAAATAAAAAAAAAAATAAAAAAAAAAAAAACACACATCATTGTAAAATCAATACATTCATCGTTTCACTCAGAATCTAAAAAAATAAATAAATAAACACATCATTGTAAAATCAATACATTCATCGTTTCACTCAGAATCTAAAAAAAAATAACTACAATTACTATTTTCTCCAAACTAACTTCTAACCAAGTTAGATATACTTTATATTAAATTAACTTAACTTTAGCTAGTTTAAAATAGTGACTAACTTGATAAGCTTTACCAATAGGTAGGTATTTTAAAATGTTATCCTTTATTAGATAGTATCTATTAGTTACTAAACAATTAAGTACCTACCTACTATAATAATAATAATAAACTATATAATTATGGCTCTATTTCTAAAATATATATATAACATTGTGAATTTGTGACAGTACCAACAATTAAGCAAATCTTAATAATTGAACAAACATTTCAATACCTACATCATAACATTGATATGATGTTTCTGACTGAATATTTAAATGTTGTGTACCAGTAAAATAAACTAAACAATATATTTTAAACTGTAATTTGTGGAGTACTTACTATTGGTTAAATCTGGTGTTTTATAATTTTTCGAAAATAATTCTACTCCCACTATTATTTATCTGTTCATCCAATATTTTAATGAATTTTAGAGTTGCTTCTTCAATTTTTATTGTATATTCTGTGAAAATGAATATCTACCTAGACTTTAATACAATTTTCATTCGTTATTTTTGACTGAATAAATTTCAAATAGTATTATTAAGGAAGTACTTACTTAAGTATAGATTCAATGTCCACAGTAGTTAGTGTCACAATGATAAATTAATTTTGTAAATCTGCTGTACTTGGCTATAATCACACAGTAGGTATTTAGTAAAACCTATTTTACCATTTTCATGATAAGTGGATTTTTTTGACAAAGGAGTGAATATACAGTGTACAAAATATATTATAACCTATATTTTTGAATCTGAAAAATTAATAACTTGTAAAACATTTTCGATATAATTAATGTAACATACAAATAAATATTAACAAAAACATTTAAAGTTAAACTATAAAATCACCTAATTATGTAGATTATATTAAATATAAATTGATAGAAATCATATTTCAACAGTCTTTTACTGAATTAACAATTTTTTTTCTATGGAATATATTAATAATATAAAATATTAGTACAATAATACCTCTTCTATTGGCCGAAATCAGGGAGAGAAAACAAAACATTGAAAAATCATACAAAATTGTTGATTATAATGTCTTGGCTGATAATTAGTTTAATTTAATATTCATGTACCTACTTATAATGTGTTAAATTGTATGTAGAAATTTGAAATCAATTCTTCTTGGTTTTTAAGTGACTAATTATAGTTAGATGCTTGGATTTTTATTTTATAATATGACTTACGCTATAAGGGCATATATTTAAAATTATTCTTGTTTTTTTTTCAGGATCACCCAACCCCATAGAACTGTAGGTGGTCATTATTTTATGCTATTGATTATTTAGTTTGAACTATACTGTCATGTACTACTGCCCTGCACTAACCTACAATATGGCTTTTAAAAAATCAAAAATAGCTTCGCTCCACTTTTACGGCAACGAACTTACATAGCGTTAAGTACACAACGAAAAGAGAAAACAAAGACTTTTAATTTGAACCGAAAATTGAATTACTTTATTTTACTTTTTTCTATGTCTTATTCCGTTGACATGCCAAATAACAAGTAATTACGTTTTTGAAAATTATAAAAACATAATATAACAACATCGAGAATAACACTTGAGTGAATGTATTAATAGTAAACTGCAAAGTATTATTTTATGAATAAGACATTCTATTTAATCATGATTATAATAAAGATTTTTATTATTACAATTATTTGTGATAACACCAAAAAAAATATATTATTGTTATATTATATTATATTTTATTTAAGTACTTATTAACTAGTAGGTAAGTATAGTAAGTTAATGTCCAGAATATAAAGTAACATCCCATACCTATTATTATTACTATTATGCCTATTTACCTGATTTACTAATCATATTGTATCGATTTAAATATATTCTATTGTACGATTAAAAATATTCTGATCGACACAAATGTATGGTCTAAAAAGTCAGCCAGTCAAACATAATTGTATAGTATTTTCATGATACCGAACATAATATAATTGTGTGGTTAAATCTCCGACATTCTCTTACATGTTATATTTAATAGCAATTAAATAAATACAAAACCTTTATAGTTTTTATTCCCTTTGCAGTCTCGTTACACGTACTATGCTCGTAACCAGGGCCGTATTAGGGGACAATGTATGGGGGCGCAAACATAAATAAGACGCCTCTAATTCAGCATAGGTACGCCTTTTTTTACAATTGAATAACGAAAAAAAATTGTTCTCCCTACGCTCGAACAAGCATTGTACAATATACAGTTTGTCCCAAAAGTCCCGTATCACCCTTAATATCTCCATGTAAAATCACTATATTTAAACGCGGTTTTTTTTACAGTACTAAGTATGAAAATTCTGATTGAATGGCATAAAATTCATTTATTTTTTTCTTTAAATTCAAAAATTTTCAAAAAATTTTTTTACGCATTTAAGAATTAAAATTTTTAAGACAGCCATTTTGTTGAGCATATTTTTTAAAACAGTTCAAAAAAAAAAAAAATTACTAAAATTAAATAAAAATTGACCAAGTTAGAGCAAGTGATGTTTTTGAATAATTGTAGTAAAAAAATAAATTAGGAATGTAAAAGTATTGTCGCGTGCTGAAATTAGATATTTCATTATTGAAATGTGAAACAATAATTCTACTTTTTTTCTTTGAAGTATTATTGCCAGCCTTACTAAACAGACGTTCACATGGGACACTAGTTGTGACTATCGACGAGTATTTTTTTGCCAATTTTGAGACTTCTGGATATAAATTTGAATTTTCTTTCCACCATTTAAGTAGATCTTCGTCACGATGACATTTTTTAGTCATATTCTTGTAGTTTCGTAGTTGTATTGATGCTGATATCGGAGTTTCAAAACCAATCGAAAATTCGTCTTCATCATCGCTGTCAGCCAGGGGCGTATTTACGGGGGCGGATCTGGGGACAGATCCGCCCCCATGGCTCTTTGAGATTGTATAATATAAATTATAATATTATGTACTAATTATTAAATTCTAATATATTATAGAATATAGATATTAATTGATAAGTTAGGTTTGATAATTATCAAAAAAATTATTTATGATAACAGAGGTTTTTGATATTATCATTAAATTTCTCGTAGCCACGGTTATTATTCTAAGACCGTGGTTATAGTTAAATGGTTAATCTCACGGCTAGTCGAGAACGCAAGTCAATAGCAATTTGCAATTAGCAACTAGGTATATTTCGTTGGCTCCGTTCCTATGTTCATCCGGTCGGTCGTTCGTCGGTCGGTCATACGGTCTGTAGGTCTGTTTACTTTACCGTTACACAAATACACAATACGATTTTTATTTAGTTTATAGTTAATGTTCATTTCATACATTCTTACTTTATGTTTGTGACTATTATTTTTTTTCAATAATAATATCATCATGAAGGCAGTTAATCCAAAAATAACTTCCTTTTTTACAAGTAAGGGTAACCTTGGAGTTAAAAGGCCGTGTGAAGATGAAGATTCTGATTCAGAAAACTCAAAAAATAATCAGCCACAGGTACCTATTTGTAACGATGTAATTTCAACCGATATAAGTTTGTTTGTCAATCGACGTCTATCTGACGAAGAAAAACTATTGGTAAGAGTTAATTATTATATAGATTATAAGACTATAGGTAATTAAAATGGTATTTTGACTGTTCAAGGTTTTAAAAAATGTATGGAAGCCCCAAAAAAATTATGACTTTCCGTTATTGGAACTTAATAAATGCAGGAGCTTAAAATTTCAGTATGCATGGCTTGATAAATATTCTTGGCTTGCTTATTCTAAACGCTGTGTCTAGAGCACCGGTCGGCCGGTTCGATATTAGAACACCGGTCGGCCGGTTCGATATTAGAGCACCGGGCGCCCGGATGGATAATAGAGCACCGGGTGCCTGGTAACACTGTAGAGTACCGGGTCACACTGTAAATTACCCGCTTCATTTGAATATTGGCGTCTAATTTAAATATGTAATAATAGTTATTTTATTAGGAAAACCTTAATCGTTTATTTGGCCTTACTAACCTTTATAGGTATCTTTCCCTTCAACCTCATGGCGAGTGTAGTACAGTACAGCTCAGTATAAAATATAGTTTTCAGTTTTGTTTTTTTCAAATATGAAACTTTTTGATGTTTTTTCTTCATTTGATGAATTTGAAAGTGTTTTAAGTCACTACAAAGACAAAAATTATGTCGACTATTTTATTAAAGACTGCAAGACCCTGGCGTCAATCAATGCTAAATTCCCAAATGGGAAAATGGTAACAGCATCAACCAAAATTAAGTATTATTATATTAAATATTTTTGTGTGCATGGAGGATTGTTGACGACAAAACTATAACTATAGAGAATGATATTATGGATGCTGTTGAAACTGTAGATTCAGAAAATTGTAACAGTCAGGGTAACTATTCTATAATAGTAGAACCAATAATACTAGATAATGACGTTGTGGATTTAAATAATAGAAAATGTTTTAAATGTTTAGGTATTGAATCAATAATACTACCTGGTAAAGTCAGAACTTGTGGTCGGCCAAAAGGCGCAATTATGACAACAATCGGCCTTCCTAAACGGCTTAAAACTGGAAGAGCATTGGCTAAAAAAACAGAAACAAAAACTAAAAATGGAGATAGGGATATAGCTGTCGATTCAGATGAACAAACCTATTGTCTTTGTAATCAGATTTCATACGGAGAGATGATATGTTGCGATAATGATTTATGTCCAGTAGAATGGTTTCATTTTTCTTGTGTATTATTATCAACAAAACCAAAAGGTAAATGGTTTTGCCCCAAGTGTCGCGGAAATCGTCCTAATAAAATATTGAAGCCTAAAGCGCAGTTTCTCAAGAAAAATGAAAGATACAACAAAGAAAAAGAGGATAAAGCTTAAGATTTTGTTTTTAACTAATGACTATTGGTATTCGTATAAATTCTGTATTTCTGTGATTTATTATACTATTATAAAAAGAATAACTAATAACTATTAATTATTAAGTAACTATTAACTATTAAGTATTAACTAATAACTCACTATCACGGACTAAGATATACAGGACTGGACACGACAAGGTTGGAGGGTGTGGGGGGGTTGACTACGAAATGTTTTACAACAGGTAGTGTTCGGGGGGATATTTTCCTTTTAGCATTACTAGCGCCGTCCTAGTGGATACTTATGGAACTAGAACAAATCATACAAATTTCTAGTTCCATAAGTATCCACTAAGACGGCGCTAGTAATGCTAAAAGGAAAATATCCCCCCGAACTCCGCCTGTTGTAAAACATTTCGTAACCACAATATTCATCTCGTGTCCAGTCCTGTATATCTTAGTCCGTGCTCACTATATTATTATCGTAGACAAGTATATAATAAAAGATTATAATATTATTATCATATTTTTATAATTACAGTGTGACCCGGTACTCTACAGTGTTACCGGGCGCCCGGTGCTCTATTATCCATCCGTGCGCCCGGTGCTCTAATATCGAACCGGCCGACCGGTGTTCTAATATCGAACCGGCCGACCGGTGTTCTAATATCGAACCGGCCGACCGGTGTTCTAATATCGAACCGGCCGACCGGTGCTCTAGACACAGCGTATTCTAAAGCTTTAAATGGTGCTTTTTGCAAGTACTGCGTAGTATTTGCTGGTAATACAGGTGGTGTTGGAAACCAGCCTTTGGGAAATCTTGTAATATCTCCTTTCCAGCAGTATAAAAATGCACATAGAGTAAAAAAAAAAAAACATTGTACCAAAATATAATTGTTTTTTTGATCTTTTAAAACTTATCTTACACTTATCTGTACAGACTTTAGGTGTTCATCAAGCTAGAGAATATCATATTGCTTCAGTTACTGACTCTGAACATTTTATTAGAATAAAAGAAAATAATCAGCCGACAATAGTTGAAAAAATAGATTCTAACAGGTCAGCTTAACAAAACTCAATGCAATACTGTAAAATGAGTTGCATGAGTATATTATGTAGTAGAACTATAACACTTTATATGGTTAGTTATATTTTTATTACCAACACTCCACAGACGTGCTAAAATCATCGAAAATAGAAAAAGATTGATTCCGATCATAGAATGTGTTTTGTTGTGTGGACGTGAAGAAATTCCATTGAGAGGGCATAGTGACTATGGGAGAATTATTGTTGATGGTATATTAGTATGCCCCTTATTTTTTTTTTATTCTTATACTATATTATTATTTTGTATTCATAATTGATTAGATGACCATGACGGATCTAGAGAAGGCAATTTCCGTGCTATTCTTAAGTATCGAGCCAAAGGTGATCAGTTTTTAAAAAACATATTAGAGGGTCCTGGTAAAAGGAATAAGTATATAAGCCCAATTATTCAAAATCAAATCATAGAATCATGCAATAAAATTATCATAAAAAAAATTGTTGCCAAAGTAAACTCTGCTAAATGTTTTTCCATCTTGGCTGATGAGACTACCGACATATCAACAAAAGAGCAGCTGTCACTTACTGTACGGTATATTGATGATGATGCTATTCTTCATGAAGACTTCCTTCAATTTTATGTAATTGAAAGTTTAACTGGGTCCGACCTAGCATCCTCTATTTTAAATGGTGAGTGTTTCTATTTTACATTATGTTAATATTTATTTGCCAATATTTTTATATTTTATTATTATTCCAAAGCTTTAAGTAGTTGTGGTATCGATTGTGACTTCCTTTATGGCCAGGGTTATGATGGTGCAAGCAACATGTCGGGAAAATATAATGGTGTCCAAACAGTCATAAGACAAAAATATCCAAAGGCGTTATATGTACATTGTGCTGCGCATAGTTTGAATCTTGCTGTATCTACTTCATGCAACATCAAATCAATAAGAAATTGCTTAGGAGTAGTTGAAAAACTTTATGTATTTTTCAATACCCCTAAAAGGCAAAATGTACTGATAAGTGAAATAGAGAAAAGTGATACAGAGTTTCGTGTCAAAACCCTTAAAAGACTTTGTGTTACCAGATGGGTACAAAAATATGATTCTCTGAATGATTTCTATGAACTATTTCCTGTTGTAGTTAAAGCACTTGATACAATTTGTTCAGAATGGAGTGATACAACAGATGCAAGTATCCTTAAAAAATGTATACTTGATTCTGAGTTCCTAATTGCCTTAAGTGTCACAAAGGTACCTACTATTTTTTTAATACATTTAGGGCCGTTCTTACAATTTGCTTTAAAGTGTCAGTTAGCGCTTAGTGCTTACCAGTGGAATTTTATGGATTAAACTCCACCAGTTTATGCTATTTGACACTTTATTAGTAAAGTATGATCCTTATTGTGTGGTGTAAACTATGTGTATCTTTAATAATATTTTAATTTGTCTAGTTACTTTTTTCTTTTGGACTTCCACTATGTAAATTATTGCAGAAAGAACGTATCGATTTAAAATGTACTGTTAATATGATTGAAGTTTTAATAATAACGCTAAAAAAAATTAGAGAAGATGCCAAAAATGAATTTCATATTTTATATGAAAATGTAGAGGTAATTTAGCATTGGATTTTATTTGTTAAAATATAAATATTCAATAAAATTAATTATAAAAAAAATTAAAAAAATTGTTCTGAGGTGAACTCTCTTAAAATAATATAACACAATTAATATATTATTTATGTTAACAGAAAATAGCTAGTGAATTTGATTTGGAATTGACAAAGAAAAGAGTTGTAGGAAAACAAACAAACAGAGAAAATCCACCCAATACTAATTCAGTTGAAGATTATTACAGAGTGACGGTGTTTGTGCCATACTTAGATAATTTTATCAGTCAATTGTCAACCAGATTTTTAAATCATAAATCAATATTTAATGGTGAGTAGTATTTTTTTTAATCTAGTAAATGTTGCATGTATAATATATTTTTTTTATTTTAGGATTTGATTGTCTTTTCAAAACAAGCTTGAATAAAGAAGAGAGGGAAGAATTCAAAACACTTGTTGAATTTTATTCACCCCATGTTGAAACTTTTGATATTTGTATCAGTGAATTACAGATTTGGAAAAATAAAATTCAGGATGCTGTGTTCAAAAATGCCTTAGAAGCAATAAAAATATGTGATAAAGATGTTTTCCCCAATGTACATTTTTTGATAAAAATATTTTGCACACTTCCTGTCTCAACAGCTGAACCAGAGAGAAGTTTTTCAAGCATGAAACGTATAAAAACGTATTTGAGAAATTCTATGAAAGAGGTAATTGAATTATTTGATCCTTTATAATAAAATAAACTTACATTATAAATGTACATTTAGACGAGATTAAACGGTTTATCATTGATGTCTATACATCGAGACATTGAAATAAAAGTTGATGAAGTCATAGATGAGCTGGCATTAGACCCAAGAAAAATTGACCTTCTTTTATAAGTATTAAATGAGACTACTGAGATTGTTACTGATTATATTAAGATGTAATATAATATGAAAATTATATATTATAAAAATAAATATTTATATGCAATTTAAAGTAATTATGTCATTGTTGTGTTGTTGGGGGGTGTGGGGGGCGTAGCCCCCCACGGGTCTGTTTACTACAGTTCTTGTCATCCACCCCCTAGAAAAAATCCTAAATACGCCACTGCTGTCAGCCATTAATGAATGCATTTTTTTGGTAGGTGGATTATCTTCATCTGAGCTAATAACATTTTCTATTTCATTTGCTTTATTTTGATAATTTCCAATTTCTTAGCTCTGTGGATTCATTTCACAAATTTCAGTTTCAAGTTCTTCATCAAATTTTTTTGCTCGTCGGATATGAATTTTAGTTCGCGAAATCTAGGATCTAACTTTTCGATATATCACTTAATTCAAAACGATATCGATGTCGGAAATTTGTCACGATATCGATATCGTATCGAATTATCGATATCGTTGCCCATCACTAATAAATATATAATATTGTATACGAAATACGATTCTGAGCGGTGACTGACGGTTTGTCACTTGTCAGCATGGATATCTTATATTATATTTATATTTATTTATTTATTTATTTATTCATTCATTTTACGGGACAAGCCCTTTACATAGATATAATACATAATAATTTCTAAAATAAAATAATATTATTTTGTTTTATATTACTATATTTGAAACAGCATATTATTTTTATGTAATGGTTCTTTTAAAAGAATAGGTAGGTACCTACATTAATTAACTATCGTTTGATACCTAATAACATTTGTACTATTAGACGTATTCGAAGTATTTTTATTTTATATTTTTTTAAATATTGTACTTCTGTGACCGGTTTTGAGAATTCGTGGATTCTGAACGTGATGGGCGAGGGGGTTGTTTGGGTTATGAGTTAGTTTTCGGGACTATATTATAAGTCTTTTACTTGATTGTCTTGATTCGATGTGGTACACCGTACACGGCATGTAATATTACCAATACTCACAGAATTCCGGCATAACAGCTGCAGACAATAAACAAGTCAAATTCTTAGAATCTAGATATTATATAGGTACCATCACCGCCGCACGAACACATTTTTTTTTGCACACATACGACATACCTCTACTGTAAAAGAAATAATGGTTTGTCGCTTTTTCGATCTAACCCCCACCTATGGTGTCCCTAATCTGGAGTCACGTCTTACATCGACGAGAAGTGGTGGTAAACGGCCGTCAACCGTGCTACGCCAGTGTCGAATCTACACAGTTCGACAGTTCACTACTCGACAAAGCAGTAGGATCACACGCACAAACTGGCATCGCTTTTTGTTTCGTTGTCGTCATTCGAAGTCTCGTGGTCACTGTTGTCACTTGTCAGTTACTCAATTCGCAGTTCAACTTTGTCACTTGTCAGTTGTCGATTGCCGTATACTCGCGTTTCGCACCGCCGTCCGCCAAATCTTCGATCGACCTCTGCTCCTACGCCCTACGCCGACTCAGCTACATACCACGTACCGACCGGAACGCGACTTTAGGTAAGAATTTTGACGAAATTTGTCTAAATCATAGATATTTGCAAATTATATTAAGTTTGCGGGTAGGTACGCGTGTCGTATGCTATATACCGGCGTATGTAATCTACAAAAAATGACTGCTTGGGTCGTACCAATGCAGCTGTCGACATGTAAAAATGTACTCTATACAAATTTGTCCTATATGTCTCTTTAGAAACTTACCTTTACAATATGTCTCCAAAAACAATAAATTGTTTGTGTTTGAGCACCTGTATGGATTTATGAAAATCTGAATTTTGTAATTTTTTAAATGCATTGATAATGTAGTAAGCCAGTTACTACGGAACAATACCAATTTCATGAGTACCTACATAGTTATTATTATAATATACGATAGACCGGCATAACCAGATATTAAGGAAATTAGGGTTCAGAAATAAGCGGTTGTAACATTTTACAGGAACACTGGGCACACACAACGACATCCAAAAATAAAAGAATAAGGTGGTTATTTTATAATAATCATAGGGAAAACACTGAGTGCATACGACGAAATTCAAATAAAAAAGAGTAAAATGATTATTTTAATAATAGTCATAGTTTAGTAATACATTCAATCGTAAATGCGTGGGCTGGAATGACCACACAAATCACATCCGTGAGAACCAAGATACCCCTATCTGTAGGCGAGGGGCACGGGGAACTTCATATATAAGGGAGCCCGAATAGGCCTGTTTTCAGACGTGTACTACTGTACTACCACCCATTAGTGCAAGCACCTTCACGCCACTCTGTACAACAATATTTGAACTTAGTAAAATTATCGAGTGTTATAATAAAATTCAAAATTATACAACAACTGTTATTTTATTCATTCACCAACCACGACTATATTATCTGAGAAGTCTCTGCGACCTGCAACATTAACACGTTGACTGCGTATGTCTTTTTGCAGTTTTCACCCAGTGTGTATGATAAAAGTAAAAACAAAAGAAATAAAAATAAAAATATAAAGAAACTGCTCATAACGACGTATGTATACATATTTAAAAACATGCGTTTAATCCACGCTAAATAATAATAAAATAACATTCAGCCACGCGTAGGGAATTTTAAACCATTTATTTGAAATGTATATTAGACGCCATAATTATTATGGCGTCAAACGCGTTGCTGAATGATACTTATGACGCCAATTGGCGTCAGTACGCAGTGAACGTGTTAACGTTCCGGTAGCCACTTATCTACTATTATCACTAAAATAGTAGGTACCTAGATACCGCATACGTTACAATATTGTATATAGTGCTCAATTCCTGTGAATTTCTGACCAGCTTTTTAAAATTCCTGCTATACCTGTGTACCCAGAAAGTAGAACTTAAACTGGTATGTGGTCTGGGGCAACTTTGACTTTCTAGGAAAACAGGTAGAGCAGGAATTATAAAAAGTTGACAACGTGAAGGCGAAATTCATAATATTATTCTTTAGTCAATGCTAGGATATTGTATTCTAGTGTCTACTGTATAGTCTTCAGGGGTAATGAGTATAACCAACTTTTGTAATATTATAATATATTATTATTAAATAAAAACAACAAAATACAATATGCTCAACATACAGTACATGTGCGTTGGATAAATTTAGATATAATCAACTTATTACGACTTACATACAATTCCCATCTTACATTCTTACCTCACAACTTCTATCTTATCCCAGCTGTCCCTACCAACATCGATTAGATATTTTGTATATTAGCCCATATTTCAATACCATACCTTTGTCTAGACCTCACTCATTGATATGAATTCAACTGCAGTAAGTAAGAAAAAAGGTCTAGTACCTATTCAATATACTTATTTTAATTCATTAATATTTTAATAAATCTAACCAATAATTTAATAATTTCTTAACATCAGCATTAAGTATGTTGTTTTTTTACCATGTCTACACTCTAAAGCACCTAAATTTAGTAATAAGTTTAAACACAATGATAAAAATGAAAATTAATCACAATTTTTAAAATATATTTAAAGTTGTTAGGCATGTCAGTAAAAGAAATGGATACCATTCAGGCTTCATCTTGTGAAAATAACGAAAATAATCTAAAGCAAATTCTGATATCAAATGACTGTGAACCAACTAATTTTAGGAGTGACTCACACTCTGTAAGAATACTAGAAGACTTACAATCCCAACGCAAGTATGTTAACGGTGAGTTTACTATCATTCAAAATAAATATGAGTAACACATTTTTGTTTTTAGAAAAGAAGTTTTATGTGATGTTAGATTTGAAACAGATGATGGTAAAATTGTAATTGGACATAAAAATGTTTTAATAGCAGCTAGTCCATATTTCCGAGCAATGTTTAGTAATTTTTATGAAAGCAATAAACATCTTATCAATATAAGAGAATTAGATTCCACCATTTTACTACTATTAGTAGATTATATCTATACTGGAGAAATTATGGTCACAAAAGAAAATGTACAGGTATAATAAAATATTTTATTTGATATCGACTTCAAACAACATATTATTTTATGATAATTGTTGTTGATTTCTTAGGTGTTGTTACCCGCCGCAAACTTCTTACAGTTAGATTACGTAATTGGTGTATGTGCTGAGTTTTTACAAAAACAACTGAATCCATCAAATTGTCTTATAATCAGAGCGTTTGCTGACTTACATAACTGTACTGATTTGTTGTCAATTTCCGAAGCATATATTAAACAAAATTTTTTGTATGATTAACATTTTTTAATTTTCTATATCAAGAGTAAGTAGGTAATTTATTATAAAAATAATGATTATTATTTCCAGAGAAGTAGCTAAAGGCGAAGATTTTCTATCCTTATCTACTGAAGATTTGGTGAAGCTTATTTCCTCTAATGACCTTGCTGTTCCATTTGAAGAAAAAGTAAGCAAACTAAAAATTGTATTTTTAATATTTTGTATGGAAAATCAACTTATGAAGGTTTACAAGTTGTACATTACAGTTGATGTCTAGACTCCACAGGAATCACTGTATCAGATGTGTTATATTTGAATTCAATGATATAAAATCATTGTAAACAAAAAACGATTCTGAGCAAATATGGTTTAATAATATTACTAGAAGTATATTTTATGATATTGTTAATAAACTAATATATTTTACTATTAGACATTATTAATACTGTATTTCTGGAGCAGTTTTAATTATTTTTCCAAAAAAGTTGCATATGAAAAGATCATTGTGTGCATACAATATAGCAATATACTTTAAAATTTTATGTTCCTACAAATAATATTTTTAAATTAAATAACTGAAATCAATAAAGCTTGATTACCATAGAAAATAATTTTATTGACTGTTATTGAAAATAAACAAAAAAATGTCTTATTTTAAATGTCTATAAATATTAAATAACTCTAAAATAGTAAAAACGTTTTTTTTTTTAAATTAGTTCAAA